CAAATCCCGATGTGAATTTGTATGGATCCCATCCGTTTTATATGGACGTTAGGTCGGCGTCGGATGATGGCAAAGTTCCAGCAGGGTCCACTCATGGAGTTTTGTTGCTTAACAGCAATGGTATGGATGTAATATACAGTGGTGATAGGATAACTTATAAAGATGAGTGGACCCTGCTGGAGTTTTGTTGCTTAACAGCAATGGTATGGATGTAATATACAGTGGTGATAGGATAACTTATAAAGTTATCGGTGGAATCATTGATTTGTACATTTTTAGTGGGCCGTCACCGGAGTTGGTGGTACAGCAGTACACAGACCTCATCGGCCGACCTGCTCCGATGCCATATTGGTCATTTGGTGAGTATCCGTTAATTATGTTTATGTTTTAGTTTTATGCTGGATTCAGAACACCTGTAAATTTTCATTTACAATATGTGAAGGGTTCCATCAATGTCGATGGGGTTACAAGAATGTTTCCGATGTTGAGGGGGTGGTAGCCGGTTATGCAAAAGCCGGTATTCCTCTTGAGGTTATGTGGACAGATATTGATTACATGGATGCTTTTAAGGATTTTACTCTTGATCCCATCAATTATCCGGTGGAGCAGATGAAGACATTTGTCAACACACTTCACCAAAATGGTCAAAAATATGTACTTATCTTGGATCCTGGTAACATTTCAAATCTTCTTTTATGAATAGTATTGTATAGTATAGTATAGTATGTTAGAACCAGATATGAACAGACAAGTTTTCTAGAGAATTAACATTTTTAAAGCCACTTTATTGGGTAATTGTTTGGTCTCTCTCTGCAGGTATTAGTATTAATGAGTCATATGCAACTTTCAAAAGAGGAATGCAGGCAGATATATTTCTGAAACTTGATGGTATTCCTTACCGTGGTCGAGTTTGGCCTGGGGATGTATACTTTCCTGATTTTATGAACCCTGCATGCAGAGTGTTTTGGGGTAACGAGATCAAATTATTTCATGATCTTCTCCCCTTTGATGGCCTTTGGCTTGACATGAATGAGATATCCAATTTCATCACCTCCCCTTCCAACCCATCTTCTACTCTTGATAACCCTCCTTACCAAATTAACAGTGCTGGAGTCAAGCGACCTATTAATAACAGGACTGTTCCAGCAAGTTCTATACATTTTGGTAACATTACAGAGTATAATGCACATAACCTTCATGGTCTATTAGAAGTTAAAGCAACAAATGCAGCTTTGGTCAATATTACCCAAAAAAGGGCATTTATACTTTCTAGATCAACTTTTGTGAGCTCTGGGAAGTACACAGCTCATTGGACCGGTGATAATGCTGCAAGTTGGAATGATTTGGCATACAGTATACCGTCTATTCTCAATTTTGGACTCTTTGGAATTCCAATGGTTGGGGCCGATATATGTGGTTTTTCTGGAAGCACAACTGAAGAACTCTGTAGACGTTGGATTCAGGTAATTTTGATAACTGCATTAAATTCAGCTGCCTTAATTCAAAAATAAAGTTGGAGTTTCTGTTAGTCTTGTTTGTTTACTTCAAGTCTGCAGCAGAAAGCAGGTTATCAATTTTTTCTCAGATGTAAATTACGCATGCCTAATCACTCTCATAATTCTGTTTTTAGGACACTCTTCAAGCTAGATTTGTTGTAGGAAAACAAGCTTATTGAAAAAAAATATTTGTTATTTGAGCATGAAATTTTATTAGCTTGCCATTTCTCAGTTTAGTATGAAATTACTCTCATTTGTGTTGGATGGTGATATCACATACATAGATTTCCTTTCATCAAAGAGAATAAAGAATCAATACGTACTGCTCAAAGAATTGCCAGATGCTTTTGCTTCTCAAAGGGGTTCTTTCTTTTTTTCTGTGGTTTTGATCAAATAAATGTCTTTTTTCAAAGCAGCTTGGTGCCTTTTATCCTTTTGCGAGAGACCACTCTGATAAAGGCACTGCACGTCAAGAGCTTTATCTCTGGGATTCTGTTGCTGCAACAGCGAAGAAGGTGCTTGGCCTCCGCTATCAGTTACTTCCCTACTTCTATACATTGATGCATGAGGCACACACAAATGGAACCCCCATTGCAAGACCCCTTTTTTTCTCATTTCCTCAAGACATAAACACGTATGAAGTCAGTTCACAGTTTTTGATTGGAAAGGGTGTATTGGTATCACCTGTTTTGAAACCTGGAGCTGTCTCAGTCGATGCATACTTCCCAGCAGGAAACTGGTTTGATCTCTTTAACCATTCCAACTCTATCAGGGTGTATTCTGGGAAAAACATCACACTTGATGCACCACCTGATCATATAAACGTACATGTCTTGGAAGGGAATATCTTGGCGCTGCAAGGAGAAGCCATGACAACTCAAGAAGCTAGAAATACGTCATTCCGCCTCCTGGTAGTCGTCAGCACCAAAGGAAACAGCACGGGGGAAGTTTTCTTGGATGATGGAGAAGAAGTGGAGATGGGAGTTGAGGGAGGGAATTGGAGTTTAGTTCAATTCAATGCTGGACTTACAGGGGATAAAGTAACAGTTAGATCATACATTGTGAATGAAGAATTTGCTCTGAGTCAAAAGTGGATCATAGATAAGGTGACATGTATAGGACTGGGAAAGGCTGAAGGACTCAAGGAATATAAGCTATACATTAACAAGGGAATGAATGTTACTAAAAACAGAGACATAAGAGCAAGTTTTGATAGCAACGGAGAGTTCTCTGTTGTAGAGGTGTCAGAGTTGTCTTTGTTAATGGGAGAGGAGTTCCAGTTAGAGTTAGAGCTTAGCATGTAGCATACCAAAATTGAAAGAGTGAATAAAACATCATCATTTGGGTTCCTTGTGGCCCCAGGCCTTTTCCTATTTGCCGTTGTATTTTGGACGTTGATTGTGATATTTAATGGTGAATAATTATCAGTATTTATCTCAACAATTTAAATAAGTAAGTGGTGATCTCTTTCTATTGAAAGTAAAAGATCCTGAGTTCGAGTTGCATAACAACATACAGATAGAGTGAGATAAGGAATGAGAGATAATTATATCTTATTGTGTAACCAAGATAAAATAAAAAATTATTAATACTTATAATTTAAATATTTTTATTAGTATAATTTTTTTAAAAAAAAACCTATAACTTGTTGCCAGACTACCAAACTAAACATGGCTTAAGTATGAAATAAGTCTGGACAAATTTGTATTTCTGCCATGGCGCAATGACTGAAAATATTTTCCCAAGCATATATGATCCAGTCCGAAGATTCTATAATGTGAGAGATCGATGTCGTTTATGTATGATTTTTTTTTTTTAATTTATTAAGAAAAAAAAAAATGTGCATCCTCCTTTGTTTCAAAATAAATCACATTTTATATAAAAAAAATTAAATTTGTCTATCATGTGCAATAAAAATTAAAGATGTAATGAATTCAATTTTTCTTTAATAATTTGAGGTATAGAGAAGCACTAACTAATTTCATTTTTCATTTTCAACACAATGTACAATATCTTAATTAGGCTGTTGATAAAAATAAAAAAGTGTAATTAGTACTCAACAGGGGGATTTTCTAATAATTAAGAAAAACAGTAAAAAGTTTTGTTTTAAATTATTTTACGTTTTGAGAAAATCAATGCGTCTTCATTAATTATTCTTTTCCAATTTTAATCTGATTAATCATTGAGGAGATTTTCTAATCATTAAGTCTTATTAATTAGCAATATTAGTAATTAATTTTGTACAAATTTGTAGATATTGGAATTAATTAAAGTTTTTTAATTAAAGATATAATCAATGTATTTTTTTATAATTAATTTGTATAAAAAAAAATAAGTATTGACTTGAAATTAATCAATTAACTACTTAAAATTATTTATGTATTAATGGTGTTAAAATAAATATTAATTTTTTGTAATTTTGATATAAGTTAACTATAAAAAAATTGTATTACATCTTTAAATTATACTTAAGGCATATGTTAAACCAATCTATTAACTAAAAAATTCCATCATTAAATGCAAAGAAATTTTTACTTAAAAGCTTTTTTTAACTTATACCTTTAGGTAGACAAAAGGGTGTTATATATATATTTATTTATTTATCATTAATATGCATAGACACATAATAAAAATAAAAGCAGACATAAATTTTATTAATAGTTTAATAAAAATATTCATATAGTATAGATGTTAAAATTAATATTAATTTTTTACTTTTCATGTAAATTAATATATAAAATATATACTTAAAACTTTCTTAACATATGCTCTTGAGATACAGGTTAAACTTTCTCTAAAATAGAGTACCCTTTAATTTTTTAAAATGGTAATAGATAAGTTTAAATTCCATTTAATGTGATTTTAGTTTTGGGTTTTAAAATTTTATTTCCTATAATACATATTTAATAACTATTACTATATTTAAAAATCAAAATTTATTAAAAATATATTTAAATTTAATTTAAATATAGTAGTACTAATTACTAAATATATAAGAAATAAAAACTAAAAACCCAAAATTAAAATTAAACCGAGCCTTACTCTTTTATATTCTTTTAGTAATTAAAGTTATTAATTAACTTTTTTAATGATGGTCCATGGAACATTAGAAGGAAAAGAAAATAATTGAAAAATAAAATTTTTAATAATTTTTATATAATATTTTATGATTGATTCGTCTTACTTTGTTAATGCCTATAATATTAATATATATATATATATATATATTAAACATTGAGAAATTTGGGGAAGGAGGATAATAGTACAAGAAATTGAACCATAATGGTATCCATGATCAAGATGTACCTTACCAATGCAACCACAGCTGCAGGTGCATAGATGTTTACTTATTTAACATATGTAGCGTTATAATGATAAAATTTTTATATTATTTTTTAATATAATTTTTA